TCTAAAGGGGTTGAATGTCCTATTCCTTCTCTCTATCCTCACCGATTGAAAATGCCTGCAAAAAAAGCTAATTAGGCTGAAATCCTTGATCTATTTAAACAATTCAAAATCAATATTCCTCTTCTTAATGCAATCCAACAAGTGCCTTGATATGCTAAGTTTTTTAAAAAAAATTGCACTATCAAGAGGAAATTGCAGGTCCAAAAAAAGGCATTTTTGACTCCGAACTAACACCCCACCTAAGTATAATGATCTTGGCTGCCCCACCATTGCAATTATCATTGGGGATTGTCGGATCAAACAAGCATAGTTAAACTTAGGTGCAAGTGTGAATCTACTACCTTACTCGGTTTACAAGTAGTTAGGTTTTAGAGTATTAAAACCTACTTCAATTACTCTTCAATTGGCAGATCGGAGTGTAAAATTACCGAGGGGGATGGTAGAAGATGTATTAGTTAAGGTAGATAGGTTTTTTTTCTTGTCAATTTTATAATACTAGACACTGCATCGATGGCTAACCCAGCAACACAAATTCCCATCATTTTAGGATGCCCATTCCTTGCAACTTCCAATGCACTAATAAATTGCAGGAGTGATGTGATGAAATGCTCTTTTGGGAATATGACTTCTGAATTCAATATTTTCCATTTAACAAAGCAACCGGGTGGTAAAGGAGTGTTTTGTGAGATAAACCTGGTAGATGAGTGTGTGGAGGATAAGTTTCAAACTTATATATATATTATGATCCTCTTCCATTATGCCTGATCAATTCTAAATGTGAGGTTAACAAATCTGAGGCTATCTTTTATACTAATTTTTTAAACAACTCACTTGAGTTACACAGTGTGGAGAGGAACTCCCAACAAGAACTGTTCTTTGGAGAAGGCAAATCCTGAAAGAAGTCGGGTATTGGCAAGTGGAGCCCGGTTGAACTGTTTGAATATATTGTTTCTTTTTGTATACTATATTTGTTAGTTAACTTCTTATTTTTGGTTTAATTAATTTTTTATTTCTCTGTGCTAATTTGTTCTTTTATTGTTTTGTAGTTAATTTAGTTTGGTGTTGTGCTCAGGGGTTTTCTTTCCCTCACTCTTTTAATATTACTCATTGCATTATCATTGTTGAATTGAGGACAATGCAAATTTTAAGTTGAGGGGTGAGGTTACACCATTATGTTGCTCCTATTTATTTATTTTTTGTATTCATTTCAGTTTGTAGCAGTTAGTTGTACATAGTGAAAAATTTTGAAAAACAAATGTCTCTTTGAATGATACTTGTTTCTTAAGAACTGTGAGGTTTATATATATTGTGTGATACCCAAATTCGTTACATATTGTACTTTGGACACTTGTAGTCTATGCTCGAATATCATGGTCCTGATTCATTTCAAATCCATTGTTTTTCAATTATCTCATTACTCTAGTGGTGGTTAGAAGCATAAGAGTATTTAGTTGGTTATATCTTGAACAAGACTAACACTTTTTCATACTTCCTACAAATGATTTTAGGTCATCTTTGAATTTTATTAGAGTCTTAAGCCTATTCTTTCATTGCATTATCTCTAGTATCTGTGATTGAGCCATGATGGTTTCTTTACCTCAATTAATAGTTGAGCCCAGCATATAAGCATATATCATACCTCGGTTATCCCTAAATTTATTGTTATTTAATATAAGTGACGAATTGTGGTAAAAGAAAGAAAGAAGGAAAAATGAAATGCTGAAAAATGAAAGAACATAAAAATTCTGGAAAAGAAATGAAAAGTGGAAAAGAAAGAAATCAAAATTATTGAATGAAAAAGCCAAAGGCTAGTTAAAAAAGAAAGAGCAATGAGTTTTCATGTTGTATACAAAACTAGGTTCAGTGAATGAGAACATGGAAATTGTCTAATGGATAGAACAGAACCCGTTTTTGAATCCCTAAGTTCTTCGTTTCTTAAACCTTCACCAAGGCCCCATTATAACCGTAGAAGTCCTACAACAAAAATCATTTTTCGCAATATTTTTTTTGCGACGGATTTTAATTTGTCGCAAAAAGGGTATTATCCGCGACGATTTCCTAATTTTGTCTCAAATTTATTTTTTTGGCAATTTTTTTGCGATGTTTTTCAAAAAATGTCGCAAAAAGGTAATTCCCTCCCATTTTTTTTGGCGCGAGAAATGGCGGGAATTGAAGAGTTTTTATGACAAAAATTTTTTGTCACAAAAAGTTTTAATTCGTCGCAAAATTAAATATTCTAAAATTATAATAAAAAATAAAATCAAAATATATAATTGGTGGCGTTTATAATTTTCGTCGCAGAATATAAATTTTACTTATTAAAGTACAATGAAATATTAATAGTAATTAGCGACATTTTTATAAATTTGTCGCAGAAGTTAATTTTTGTAATTTTAAATTAGACTTAAAATATTAATGGCGACGTTTTTAAAAAAATAGGCGAAAATGTGATTCCCTCCCAATTGTTTTTGGGCGCCAGAAATGGCGGGAATTGAATATTTTTTATGACAAATAATTTTTTGTCGCAGATAGTTTTTATTCATCGCAAAAATAAATAATCAAAAATAAAATTAATAATATAGTCAAAATATATAATTGGCGATGTTTAAAATTTTCGTCAAAGAATATAAATTTTTGTTATTAAAGTAAAATGAAATATTAATAGTAATTAGCGACATTTTTATAAATTAGTCGCAGACGATAAGTTTTATTTTTAGACTAAATAAAATTATTATTTTACGATGTATTTTATTTTCGTCGCAAAAGTTAATTTTTGTAATTTTAAATTAGACTTAAAATATTAATGGTGACGTTTGATTCCCTCCCAATTTGTTTTGGCGCCAGAAATGGCGGGAATTGAAGATTTTTTACGACAAATACTTTTTTGTCGCAGATATTTTTTATTGATCAGAAAAATGAATAATCAAAAATAAAATAAAAAATAAAGTCAAAATATAGTGTTTTAATATTTTTTTAATAAAAAAGGTATATATAGTCAAAATATAAAAAATAAATTGCGACGTTCTATTATGTCAAAATAAAAAAATAAAGTCATATATAAAGCGATGGCGTGAAATGACAAAATTTTTACGAGAAAATTTTTATATCGCAGAAATAAATAATCAAAAATTAAATTAAAATAAAATAAAAATATTAAATTGAGACGTTCTATTATGTACGTCACAAAAAATATTTTCAAATTTATTGCGACCTTTTTATTTTTGTCGCAAAATATAAATTACAACCACATTTAAATTTAAAATAAAATAAAAATATTAAATTTCGACGTTTTATTATTTACGTCACAAAAATATTTTTGAAATTTATTGCGACGTTTTATTTTTGCCGCAAAATATAAATTACAACCACATTAAAAATTAAAATAAAATAAAAATATTAAATTGCTACGTTTTATTATTAACGTCACAAAAATATTTTCAAAATTTATGGCGACGGTTTTTTTTTCATCACAGAATATAAACTATAACCACATTTAAAGTTAAAATAAAAAAATATCGTATAGCAGATGACATAAAAATATCACCCTTTGTCAATTTATAGCAGTATATTATATTCAACATCTCTCGCTTTTTATGCTAGAAAATTTGTATTAATTGATAGATGCACAACCCATTAATTGTATCCCTACTGGTAAATTCCAAAAATGGCCCAACATCCTTATTATGATGTATATTTTTTTTCATATTATACAATAATATTATTAATATTTAAGTTTAGTATTCTACATAATATTTTACAATAATATTATTTTGATATAATTTATTAATTTAATCCATCACAACATTTGAATTGGTAGCGAGTCTCAACAAATATTGGGCCTTACTATCAATATAATAATTATAAATAATTAGGTCAGTAAATTAAGTATGTAAATTATGTTAGCATTGTTCTTGTTTATATTAGATTGCTAATGAACTTTATTTAATATTGAAATTCACTATCAAATTAAAAATTTCAGTACATTGCTTTTGTAACACCCCAAAAATCACCTTGGAATACATTACTATCCATAAACTATTCATACCATGAAAATAACTAATAAAATTCACACTAAGAAGAAATCCATTCATCATTCGTAGTAACTAGAAGTGGCAATTTTTAACTTAATACGACGATACGACTCGAACTTGACACGAATTTTAAGAGACAAACTCGATTATAATTCAACACAAACTCGAAAATAACTCGATAGCGAACACGAAATATTAACACGATCAACTCATTTATTTAAGAATGGACACTTTCTATATTTTCTCGTTCGTATGGTAACACGAACAACACAAAAGTAACATATTTAACTAGTATTATAAAAATAAAATGTTAAATATTTGTAATTATTTATTAACCACTTCCATTATTATTGTTTAAAAAATATATTTTTATTTACTATTATTATTATTATTATTGTGGATTTGTTAAATTCTACTACCTTTAATGTTTGACAGTTTTTTTGTTGTTTGCTACGAATTTTTGTTATCTGAAGAGGAATTAGTTTTTTTGGTACCGTTTCTTGATCTGCTGGGTATGTTGGTTTTTACTGAAAATGTGTTATATGGTCTGGAATTTTTTGCAAAAACCTGTTCTGTCATCTTGGTTTTGTTCTACTAGTGTTTCATGATGGAGTTTTGAGCAAAATTTGAGTTTGGACAGGTGCCTAGTGAGTTTTGGGTGGATTTCAATAGAAGCTTGAAACGTTTGGCATTGCTTGTGCAATTCATTGCCTTACTAGAAATTGATTGATATCTATGTTTGGGCCAGAGGTGTTAGACGAATTCAAAGTTTGGGATAATGATTTTGGTGGATTGGAAACCAATTTCATTTGTTTATATATTTGGATTTGGTTTTGGTTATAAAATTGAAACAAGTCACTGTCAATTTGGGTTAGCAAAAGTAGATAATACAATTTTTAAATATATTTTGAGTAGCTGTTTTAGATAGCATTGTTGGAGATGCTCTAAGATCATTAATATTTATTGCGATCAGCGACGAAGAATACCCAGACAGCGATCAGTAGCGAGTCTAGCGACCAGCGATTCCGAGTGCAGTCCAGCGAGCAATAGTGACTCCAGTCCAGTGCAGCAGCGATCCAACTAGCAGCAGGCAGTCGACTTCAGTCCAGTGCAGTCCACCAGTAGCGACACTAGTCCAACACTCCAGTGAGTTTTCCTCTCTCTCTCCCCCTTTTTCAATGTCCAATTCCTCTGTTTGGTTACATTGTCCAATTCCTATCTCTCTCAATTTGGGTTTTTTATTTTGCAATTAGATGAGGAAGATTCTTTAATCAATGGAATGATGGTTTTTCATGTGTTTGCTTGATCAAAAAATTGGAAGTTTATTTGTTGTTGGATGCAAAAAAAAATTTAAGGCAGTGGACTTTCTGGGTTTCAACATAAAAAATTTCCCTTTGAGTTCCTTTAGTTTTGACCCACTTCTATATATATGGTTCGGGGCTTTTATGTGCAGAATTTGCTTTTATCTTTGTTTGTTTTAACACTTGTTTCTTGGAAATACAGTGAAAATGAATTGGGATTTGGTGCAATTGGAACTCAAGTTTGATTTGGGTTTTGTTATGTTGAAAACCCATTTGAGATGTGTATTTACCTTACCAAATACCATTTGAACTAAAACCTGAGAATCAGATTCAATCAAAATCTGATGCCCCTCTAAACCATGCTGCATAATCAGATTGAAGCCATCCAGCAATGCCTTGCATTCAACCTTCAGGTCCTGAAGTAATTCCTTACTCCTGAGATCATCTATCCTATCAGGCTTGATCATATAAACCTGCCATCTCAATGCACTAACCCCTTGTGCAAAAATAGCATAAGCATCCAATTCTAAGCCCTCAAATCTCCTTCTACACCTTTCCTTCCAAATAGCCCAAAAAATCAATATAGAGACTCCCCTCACCAAAGCATGACTCACAGTTGGAGCTTTAAAACCTTTCATCAGTCTCAAACATCTACACATTGGAGACTCCCCTAAAACTATTCCAAAACCCATAAAAGCGGGCACCCTCCTCCATACTGCTTCAACAAAAGAACAAGTAACAAACAAAAATTGTTTGCATTTCCTCATTCTAAATACACAGACTACATCTGCTAGCCAATGACTTATTTCAGTAGTATTATCATATATGTCTAGTTTCTTTGATGCTTTGTTTTATTTTTGGGAATAGGCGAGTTATGTATTTTGGTTATTTATTGCAACCTTAATATAAATTAAAGTTTCAATTCTATGCATGCCTGCATGAAACCTTAGTACCCGTGCAATAATCTACATCGGCCATAGAGTATTCTTTGCCGGTGGAGATTTCTTGAATTGTCCAATTTCGGACAGTTTGGGAATGCACAAGTCTATATTGTAGTTAGTATCTCACCACTTAACTTGTTACATCTTTTGGATATTCTGTGTGGCAGATCCCACTGTTCTCTGTGTACATACTAGATGGGTGTAGCAACGACACCTAATCTATGTCGTGTACTTGGAGAACTATGGGGAGATGCTGCCGGATTTCAGTTAGAGATGTACGAAAACGGTAAGAGATGCTTCCAATGATATAGAATGTGCATTCCTAAATGGGATAGGACCACCAACCAAAATAGGAAGGAGTCGACGGCATAGTTTGCATGATGCTTGGTACATAACATTGATAAATATGTGATTTTGTAGGCCATCAATTATGGACAAGAGTTGGATGACAATTAGGAATAGGTTGGATTCAAAATACATTGATGGGATCAAATATTTTGTCAATTTTGCCATAGAACGTTCGAGTCGAGATGGAAAAATTCGATGTTCATGTAAGAATTGCATGAATGCAGAATGACATGATGATGAGACTGTGAAAAATCATTTATACGTGAAAGGGATCATGACCTCTTACACGACGTGGGTACACCACGGGGAACCCGTTCCTATGAATGTCACCCAATTCTTTGAAGAAGATGATGATGATGATGATTATAATGATGATGATGGTGATAATGATAGTGTCGAGGATGATATGACCGACAGTGAAGATGATGATCGATATGAAATGCCCAAAATGTTGGAAGATGTTGGTAGGGGAATGTTCATGGATAATGATTTAGGAGGTGTTCGTGTTGGAGAAACATGTGAGGGTGTTGATAGTGAAGAAGTTCAAAATTTTGAAAAATTATTGAAGGATGCTCAACGTGGTTTGTATCCTGGTTGCAAAAAATATACACTGTTATAATTGATTGGTAGGATTAATTGGTACATGTACGGAGTGTACATGGGATATATTTTTGTAATATATGAATATGACCCTGCGGGTTTTGGTTATTCCGTATGAGTATGGATTTATATGTCCAAGTGTTACTTGTCATTTCATCAAAGATGAATCGAGTATGGACTAAGTTTGATCGTAATTGAGCTGTGACATGTCGAATTTAATTATTGATATTGTTGTCCATAATTGTCTATCGATTGATTTATTTGGTATTTGATCATTTCTATTGTTACCATTGAGCATATTATTTCTTGTTGTGTTGTATATTTTCCTGCTTAATTAATTTTTCAGGTTGATTTTGGAGCAAACCTCATGATTGGAATATTTGAGGAAACGAAAATAGACAAATTTTGATATAATTTTTATAATATTGAAATCAAAATTTTATCAATCTTTGAGGTAATTAAAGTTTTGGCTCGTATATTTGAAATATTTTGTAGAATTTTATCAATTGATTTATCAAGTAACACATCTGAAAAATCGAAGTGTTAAACGGAGTTCTTGGATTTCTGCCAATTCAAGCTCAGCCACCAACAAGTTAAGCTTCTAATCACTACCAGAAATTGATTTGTGGTGTTTGATTTGAGAGTACACTAGTTTTGGGTATACGAACTTGATTTAGGGGTTAGATTTGTGAGATATTGAGGTTTGGGGGTTAAAAAGTCAAGTTGTAGGTCTTGTTTTCGGCTGAGAAAATGGGTTTCGATCCAACTTTGACTCAGATTTTGTAAAAATGGTAGGGTTTTTTTTGGTAAAACTAAGGTTGGGGATTGAAAGTAGTATTGAAAAGGAGTAGGTGAGGCACTTGAATCACCCACTTTGGAGTTGATTTGAAGGAGAGATGGTTGGCTGAAGTTGGGTCAAAAGCTGGATACTCTTGTCCCGTCATGGATAGACGATCTTTGATCAGACCAAGGAGGAGATTAGTTGAGTTGCGCGTAAATTAATTCAGACTCTCTTGACTGTTGAACAAAAAAAATAATAATAACTAGCACCCATCCACCCAAGGAAAAAACACCATCATATACAAGAAGAACATATTCCGCCCATACAATTACCATATTTGGGATTTTCTTCCCACCATCAGAAATTAGTATAAAACTAGGGTATTCAAAAAGTATTTTTCAGTATCATATCAAAAAATATAATTTTTTAGGATCAAATTATAATGTTTTCAATTAGTTTGAATCGATCCTACCATTTTAACATTGAGCCTAAATGTAAGAATCGATCTCAAACACCTAGAAAAGTTATAACTGCTCAAAAGAGTGTAACTTGATTTCAAATGGTTTTTTGTGGTATCAATCTTGCATTTAAGGACTGATTTTAATTTTTTTATTGCAATTAAACACCAAAATTTTGACTAAACTGACAAAAAATTTAACCTTCGGTATGGTATCTTCTTTCGTACCATAACCGTAGTTGTCGCTCACATAATGCAGCCCCAACTCAATAAAAATAGTTAAAATTGGGGATGAATCCTACTTAAGGGACTTATAATGAGTTTGGTTCATCAAGGAAACTTATTTGGAAATAAGTCTTTTTTTAATTTTATTAATAACTAGTTAAGTCTACTATTTTTTTAAAACTCCAAAATACCCTTCATTAAAAGAAACTTTAAATTAGTTTTCTAACTTGAAAATTATCATCCCTTAATTCATTATTAATGAAGATATGCCAATAATTTTTTTTTACATAAATTTAAAATTCAAATTCAAAAAATAACTGAAGCCAATATTATACCTTAAAATTTTAATTTTTTTTTTTAAATGTTATTGTTTTTGATTTTGAATGTTACAATTTTTTTATTTTTGAATATTTCATATTACTGTTTTTGTTGAGCATGCTTCTATTGTTATTTTTTTAAATATTAATACTCAATGTTGTTATTTTTGTTTTGTATTTAAATGTTACTATTTTTTTTTGTGTTTAAATAGTACTATTATTTGTGTTTGAATATTACAATTTTTTTTAATGTTACTATATGTGTGTACATATATGAGAGAGATAAATAAATAGTAGATATAGATATATATGGGAGAGAGAAAATTTGAATGTTAGCCAAACTCTTAAAATTTAGGAGTTGTTAATTTTCAAATTTGTTTTAATTAAAGATAACTACTAGGGGTATTTTGGATAATGGATAGCAAAATGAACTTAATTTTAAATAAGTTTTTTTGATGGACTTATCACCAAATAAGTTGAAGCTAATTTATTTATTTTCTAAAGGGACGGCCTCCAATTTTCCAATAAAAATACAAAAGAACAGAGATAATATTTTTAGAATGGAAAATATTATTTGGACCTAAAAATCTGACATAATTTGCTGACCTAATAACGCGGTTTCATTGGAACTATTGGATTAACACCAAATTCTAATGTTTGATGGAGCTCATAGTCAATCCAAAGATCATAGTGAATTAGGTCAATAAATTAGGTTACAATAGCATTGCTCTTTTAAAATCAGGATGGAGCTAGTTTATTCATTTTCTAAAGAGCCAGCCCAAACACAAAGCTTGGGTTTTTGGCCCCATATTCCAAGATTGCCTCAAAATTTGAAGTGTATCGTTATAGGGCAAATCAAAAAAATATACCATTTTTTTTGTTATGAGTTATTTTTATTTTTATTATAAAAAATATACCAATTTTTTTTTTTAATTTTTTACAAAACTTGAAAAATTAAAATCAGTAGATCATGATTGTTTATAATTAAAATTAAAAATATCTTTCCTAAGATCAACTATACAAAAAAAAAATTAGGGAATAAGTGATACTACCAATATAAAAAAATATAGTAGCGGAACTTATTAAACATAAAAACTAATAGTACTTTTAATCTCAAAAAACAAGAAGGATATATCAAATCATAAAACTACTAAGTTTATTCATTGTATACTCACCCTACTAATACCTATGTTTATCCCGTTTTATACTCACTCAATTAATAACTTAACTCATCTCAATTTTCACATTTTAGTTCTACCTCCTATATCACACAACTTATACGAAAATATACTCATTCACATGTTGGTTAATCTGATTTATAAATTTTCCAATTTCTGACATGTCCGTTGTAACTTTTCGAATGGCGTCAATTACTACTTCCGAATCACCCTCCAAAACCACCTTACCATATCCTAACTTCGCTGCTAATTTCACTGCTTTAGCGGCCGCCATAGCCACAACATGATCAGCCTTCACTAAGCCCTTGATTTTCTGATTAAACCCCATAATAAATCTTCCATTACAATCTCTAATGATTATCCCAATACCTGAACAACTAGTTGCTTCAAAAGTTGAACTATCAAAATTGATCTTCAGCATTCCCATTGAAGGAGAAAACCACGAATTCTCAAAGCCAAGATATCGGGTTGTGGGGTTTGCCGAGAAGATTCAGTGGTTGCCCAATATTGTTCCAGATATGTCACAGCAAATTACAATTTAGATGTTCTTACGACTACAGTATGGTGTTGAATAAAATATGTTCACAATTTGTATGCATCCTTTTATATTTGTTCATAAA